GGGGGGTGGGTTGGGGGTTGTTTACGATAGTCAAACAATCTTGATAGTGTATCAAGGTCTCTCCTCCAACTGACTGCTGTGCTTATCGTCCAGTCAGGAACAGAATAATAACATGATTTTTTAGTTATAGTATGTCTCGGCTGAACTGCGGAGATAAGTACAGTTTGCTGTAATATGTACAGTTTGCTGTAATATGTGGTCGCGATTATCAACTCAGTGGAATTTCAAATGATGAACTGTGCTTTAAGTTTACACCAACTGGAACCAAAGGAATATACCCATGAGTGCTCCCTAACTTAACTTGGACGGTAAGTGTTTGACAATAAAAACTAGGACACGAATTCTCTGACAAGAAATGTTAGCAGGTTTAAATAAAATATACCTGCAGTTAGCAGGTTTAAATAAAATATACCTGCAGTTAGCAGGTTTAAATAAAATATACCTGCAGTTAGCAGGTTTAAATAAAATATACCTCCAACTGACTGTGGTGCTTATCGTCCAGTCAGGAACAGAATAATAACATAATTTTTTATTTATTCAAGTAGCCCTGGTCATTTTTAAAAAATCGTTGTCCACCTCCCTTAAAAAAACAGGGTTCAAATTGTGGGCACACACGAATGCGATGTCGCTCAGATAAGGCAACATCTTCGCCACAACTTTGTTTCCCAAAATCTTGTACCGCTTCAGATAGCCAATAGAGCGTTCCACGTGGATGCGGGCGATGCTGACTTTCCTGCTGGCTGCTACTTCTTCCGGCGTGAACTGAGTCTGGCCCCACATCCCCGCTGGGATGTTTAGTGTAACTCCTGAAATTTAATTCGCTTTTTATTCCGCTTATTCTTAACTAACCGGACGATGATTAATCACTCTACACACAAATAGACTGTTACGTGACGTTTCAACACGTTTTCTAGCTGGCTCTGAAACCTTAACCACCCAGAATGACCCTAACCCTAACACAAACCCGATTTCTAACTATTATTCTGTTCCTGACTGGAAGATAAGCACAGCAGTCAGTTGGAGGAGAGACCTTGATACACTATCAAGATTGTTTGACTATCGTAAACAACCCCCAACCCACCCCCCCCCCCCCCCCCCAACAGTTAGCATTGTACATGGGCACTGGGCACGGTTACATTGTAATGATCACGGTTCACACAATTTCTAGTTCTGTATGACGTAATCATGGCGTGTGTACCGAGGTGCAGTCTGCAGATAAGAGCACCTTGAAATTGCCAACCTGTGGCAGAGATAACAATGTGAACAAAGGGTCAAATACAGATAAGAAATGTAAACATACGATATAATGTCCCTCTGCTCACTCTTCCTGTTGTGATTGGACGGATCAGCGTCACGTGACAGAACACCTTTAATACAATTGGTCGAAATCACGGACGCGGAGCACATCAGGGCTGCCCGTTGTCCGAATAAATATAATTCAGTTGTTATTATGATTGTTATATACCTTTATTGTGTTTCTTTTGACTTTTGCTATATCGTGCTCTGCTCTGAAAATTGTGATAGAACCTGTTTGAGTTGTTAATGAGACGATCTCCTTGTTCTTTCGTTGCAGAATCAACATGTTCTTTGTTTGAGTAACACAACAATTTTGAGGAAAAAGGAAGCGTTATTGGGCTGTAAAACCAACTTTAATCGATTTCTCGTGCAACGTTGTACAGGTGAGGAACAGTCACAAAAATGAGATGCTTACCTGCTGTGTTTTGTCGTACTCTGCTCTTCGCTCAAGTTCGATCAGTTAAGGTTAGGATTGCCTCGATCTTTCGGTTTCAGCCCTAGGTCAAGAGCTGTAGAACCGAAGGATCAAAATATATGTTGCTTGTTGCTTGCATTCTAAACTATAAAACATCGATTTTGAGGGATAAGGAAGTGTTTATAGGTTTTGAAACCTAGCTAAATCGATTTTTCGTGCAATTTTAGGTTAGAAACGGTCATCAAAATGAGTTAATAAGAAGGTCGATTTCTCGGTTATTTTTGAGCTTTCGTTCAGAAAATAATTCGGGGTCCTCAAAGGGGGGTAACAAGAAGGCGTTACAAGTGTTACAAACCTTCTATAATACAAAATATGTAACACCTCCTCAGCCTCCTGAACATGTGTTCCACCTAAAATGTAAACAAACAATGATCACCTCCTCAGCCTCCTGAACATGTGTTCCCTATTAATGTAAACAAACAATGATCACCTCCCCGCCAGTATCCACATCTATATTATAATCTAACAATATCGCAGTAACATTAATTCATGCTATATGCTAATAGTAGTTTTACAGTTAGAGTTGACTGATTCAAGGTGGAGCTCAAACTGAGTACCCTTACCTCTCCTCTTTTCAAACTGAGTACCCTTACCTCTCCTCTTTTCAAACTGAGTACCCTTACCTCTCAGCTCTTTTCAAACTGAGTACCCTTACCTCTCAGCTCTTTTCAAACTGAGTACCTTACCTCTCCTCTTTTCAAACTGAGTACCCTTACCTCTCCTCTTTTCAAACTTAGTACCCTTACCTCTCCTCTTTTCAAACTGAGTACCCTTACCTCTCCTCTTTTCAAACTGAGTACCCTTAGCTCTCCTCTTTTCAAACTGAGTACCCTTAGCTCTCCTCTTTTCAAACTGAGTACCCTTAGCTCTCCTCTTTTCAAACTGAGTACCCTTACCTCTCCTCTTTTCAAACTGAGTACCCTTACCTCTCCTCTTTTCAAACTGAGTACCCTTACCTCTCCTCTTTTCAAACTGAGTACCCTTACCTCTCCTCTTTTCAAACTGAGTACCCTTACCTCTCCTCTTTTCAAACTGAGTACCCTTACCTCTCCTCTTTTCAAACTGAGTACCCTTACCTCTCCTCTTTTCAAACTGAGTACCCTTACCTCTCCTCTTTTCAAACTGAGTACCCTTAGCTCTCCTCTTTTCAAACTGAGTACCTTACCTCTCCTCTTTTCAAACTGAGTACCCTTAGCTCTCCTCTTTTCAAACTGAGTACCCTTACCTCTCCTCTTTTCAAACTAAGTACCCTTACCTCTCCTCTTTTTACATCTTTAATCGAAATTATTCGATTCAATTCAACATACTCGTGCTACAACTATTATTACTAATTATATCAGTTAGGTATAGTCGACCTCAGATCAATAGGAATCATATAATTTACCCACACCTGGTTAGCACCTACAAGGACATTAACCCCTAGTAAGCTAGCTGTATAGTAGTACTCTACTACTCTAGTAGTACTCTAGTCTCTAGTAGTACTACAGAAGGTCACTAGAAGGTGGCCCAGATGATTTTGTCTTTGGAACCAAATTATTTAACAAGACGTTCTTGGTAAATAATTAATGTTAAGAACTAACTCATTTCACTATATTTGTCCGTTGTCGTATAACGTTGTATATTTCTCGTACTCATTTAAGTTTAACTTAATTTAAACAAATGAATATTGGCCGGTCTGATGCCTAAAATAGTCTAAATTGAGTCAATACAGAGGAACTGTACTGAGCAGTAGTGACCTATACACTAAACATTAGAAAATAGTCCAAATGAATGACGAAATATTTCAAATATTTTCTACGATATTTTCTACGATATTTTCTACCAAATCTTAATAAAAGAACTTCACAGTACTTCAATGTACTTTTAGCTCTTGCTAAAGGAGGCTGAGCTCTAATGGTTATTAGATAGGAATCAAACGGAATTTGTCAAATCTCGGCTGCGTTCGGCTCTCTTCCAGTTAAAGAAATGATCATTTGATAATATTTGTCATGAGTAATAACCTGGGTCATTGAGCTATTCAACAAAAGAAGTAGACCCATGAATTTGAAGACGACACGATAACTTAAATGAGAAGTATGTATAAAATACGTATTAAATACGTAAATTGAAAAGTACGACTAGTACCACGTACTTTTTGGTACCAACATTTTATAAGAATAAGGTTTTAATTTTTTGTTATCTGATTTGCACGTGGGCGGTCGTACAGACATACGTACAGACAAAGATAATCTTTCGAATTATAATTTAGGTTTAAGTGAGAGGCATATGCAGATTGCAGAGCTTACAAAAACATGACGATTCCCCAAGGTTCTTCACAAGACCTTCACATTTTAAAAATGTGTGTGCATATAGATTGTAGATTGTCTAGTTTATATGATTTTGTTAGTTTGGAAGAGCATCACGGCTCTCGACAGTCAAAGTACAAATACGAAATGAAACTAGGCAAATGTGATAACAAAAATGGAAATAATACGGACATGTGCACCTTGAGGTATTTGTACTTTGACTGTCGAGAGCCGTGATGCTCCTCCAAACTAATAAAATCGTTTCAAACTCACGATCGGCCTTACGCGAGATCTGCTAGTTTATATGAACAATCAGGATAAACTAAAAAGTCCTACTTGTCTGTTGTCTACACACCTTCGTTATAACCTCATGAAGATTGTAGAGTTGTAGGTACACGTCACTCCTCGTAACTTGTTTACATTGTTTCCCGCTGACTGTTTGAGACGAGAAAGTCAATTATATATTTTAACTACAGCCTGGGGTGGTGGCCAGAGGTGTTTTATTTACTCGATTAATGTTGTTATGATAATTTTAAACTTGGTATTTCGCTCATTAATTGTGAAATCTTTTAACTAGTTTTAAACTTTATACTTCAATATGGAGCCTGCAGACCCAGCATGATATTCAATAGTTTTTATCACATCTTGTCGTTTACTTGGTGATTTGTATCACACCCCACAATATATATTAGTTGACATCTTTTAAGACATTCAATGAATTATAATTCAAAACAGAAACTTAAAGACGTTCAATATTCTATTATCTTCTAATTTCAATACTCAGATAAGCGGGATACCTGGTTACCTGGTTACCTGGTTACCTGATTACCTGGTTACATGGTTACCTGGTTACCTGGTTACCTGGTTACATGGTTACCTGGTTACCTGGTTACGTGGTTACCTGGTTACCTGGTTACTCACTTCTAATTTCAATACTCAGATAAGCGCGATGATAAACGGCTCGCTAGTAAACACGACTTCTTTTGAGGAGTACTTCCCCGACCTGACGTGGTGGGAGAGAGGGGTGGTGTTTGTGTGGCTCCTGGTCATGTTCCTTGTCTCTACCATCGGCAACGCTTTCGTGCTCATTCTCTCTAAAGACCTCAAGGTTGGAGATTATTGACTGTTTCAATTAGTAATTAAATAATTTAAATTAGAATCCTTATATTTTTATGTAGTGATATCATAGTATCTGATAGGAAAGTAGTTGCACTTTGTGTGGTACCCTGATAAATGATGAAATGTATAAGTTGATGATAATGATAATCTTCAGAATGTTACTAAAGATAGTAAAGGAAGTGTCCTGCTGATAAACGTCGCCTTTGTTGACCTCATGTTCAACGTCTTCGTTACTTTACGTTAGTTCTGCTCGGTTATCTTAATTATAACCCGTTATAGTTGACCCATTGGACCCCGCCGACTCTATAAATTTAGAAAATCATTTCTGAAGAAATTATGCAGTTATGCTATAAGTTATGGAATTACATTAACTAATTTTGGTATATAATAGTTTCCAACAACACATTTCAGCAATGCTGGTATGTTCAATGTCCAGAACATGGGTGTTTGGATCAGCTTACTGCTTTCTTGATGCTGTGAGTATATTCTAACTAGTGATAGCGGTGAGCAAGAACGGTTTTACGATTGATACTATAAGTGACGACTGATTTTCTATTAGACAAGTACAATCTTCCTACACCTCCTCACAACTTAATTTTCAGTTCTTTGAAACCTACCTGGGAGTACTGGAAATCCTCTTCATTTTCCTAATCAGTGCCCATCGAACTCTGGTTATACGGTTCCCCTTCAAGCAGCAGAGAATGATAACTACAAAGAAAGTGTATATCATAGTGGGGTCCACTTATTTCCTGGGGTTGATCCCTTCTATTATTAGAACCGTCGCTACAACTCAAGTGAGTGCTGTTTTTACAGCAAGTCTGATTTTCTGAGAACTGGGTAGTTTGAAAATGTCTTAGCATCGGCAATTCATATGATAAGTAGCTTTATAATATAATTTTAAAACTGCTTTCTAACTTATACACTCAGATATACGGATACATCTCTGAAGAATTCCACTGCGATAATATCGAAGTAGCCAGTTCCGGACCCTGGAAAGTCATCCTGCAGATATCCCTCATTTTCTACGCGTTCGGTCCTGTTCTTCTCACTGTACTCCTCTACGTCTGGATGATGTTCTTTGCCATGACTAAAGCTGAACCCTCCCGGACAATGAGCAGTCGCCACCAAATAAAGGGAGGAGGGGGTACTCAGATGAAGGGACCTAACAAAGCTCTACAAACAGTTTCAATGATAGTTGGGATTTACCTTGTCTCCATCTCCCTGACCATCATTATAATCGTGGTCAGAATCCGACTACCAGACGCGATTCCCAAGAGAGTCCAACTAGCGTCCACCTGTTTATGGTTACTCAACACGGCCGTTAACCCTATAATCTATGTGTATAACAACCCCATGTTCAGGGCCCATCTCAAGCGACTTATAGTACGTAAAACAGGGGCGTATGCTACGAACAACAGTGCAGCTGCTTCAACAAGACGAAGGATAACGGAACAGAGCATGGTTGATAACAACCAGGGATTGTACTCTAGGTCGGGTAGTCGGGCCATCATCCAGAGGTCCAGCACAGCAGTGTCACTGATGTCTCTTACCCCCACCCCGCTCAGAAAGTCGGAGATTAAGAACATGCATGTGGTGGTAGAGGAGGGGGATAGGGAGGAGGAGGTAGTTGGAAATGGAGCGTCCCTTGTTATTGAGAATAACTTTGCAGAGGGTAACGGGAGTTTGTCAGTTAATGACAGCAGTTTAAACTCTCGCAGTGAGTCTGTTACTTGGAGAGGCTCAAAAGATGAGAGTGCTTTGTAGGTCAGCATTGTGAACACAGGAATAGGTCTTGATAAGAACATTGAATCTCCATTATATGCTTTAAGGTTATCAGGGACAAAACACTTAGATAATGTGTGTCGAATATAAAGATATAAGTAAGGTAACTTACTAAATAGATTACACAGTGTGTAGAATATTGCATAGCGTTAATTTCGTTTATTTAAATATTTCATCAATTAGTATTCCACCGATATAATATGTTATACTTTTAAAGTTTTAAATTTAATTGCTGTTGTTATATAGTGTATAAAATTTGAGTTTGAAATCAAAAAATGTTTATCGCTTTATGACTTATGTGACTAATTATAGACAAAAACTATCATCATTTATTATCAAACGGATCTCAATTTAATTCGCGAAACAATAACGATCACTGTCTGCGGCAAGAATTTCAGAGCGTTGTTTTGAAAAGTCTTGTGGCTATTGGAGATAAAATTTCCACGACGGAAATTGAACAGTTTTGACTGACTTAATATCCAAGTATCCAGTAACCAATTAGTCAGTTAACTACGAATTGCTTGAGATTTAATTGAGGTACTGGAAATCAAAATCCAGGGAAGGCTTTGAAAATGGAAAATCGCCAAAATGTACCGGTACTACCGGTAATACATTTTCTTAGTATAGACTTGAAATCATTCTAGGCTATATTGTGGGCAAAGCTGTCAGTGCAACTGCAGCTATAAAGGAAAAATTCTCCAAAATCATCCTTTCCGGATACATCGCCCATCAGGGGCTACACTCCTCAGAACTCAAACTCGCTGCTTTGCTGTAGGATTGACAGAGAGATCTCCTCTCGGTGGGGTGGTCACACAATGTGATGGCCCTGTTAAATCTTAGCGAAATCGAAGCTCGACATATATGACATAAGTAGGTAGGTAGCATGTACGGATTCACCGCAGGCCATGGTGCTGAAATCGTTAATAATTTGAAATCCAGTACTTCAGCGACCGCACCTACTACCGGTAAAAATAATTGCAGTCGAAATATTAATATGGGCATGATCTGACTGATACTCTAATATGAAATTTCGACAGTGTCAATACGTGTGTTAAAAATAAAATTTCAGAAGCTCCGCAAAGTGAAGCTTTTAAATCTTTAAGTTTAAATAAATCTCTCATGAAACAGTCGGAGTTTTTGCCGAAATAAAAATATATATGATGCAGAAATCTGCCAAGTAATGCCATATCATTTTAAATGACATTTTCCTTTTCCTGATCTTTAATCACGATGACAGAAAGAATCAGACTTCAGGACTACGGCTGGCGGCAATTCTCAGCCGTAAGCTGGATTTATACTTGATACTTTGATAGTGACACTTGACAGCCATAGTAATAGCAACAGTAATCGGTAACTAAGTCACCGTTATCTTTACCTACAAGGCTTCAGTCTTCATTATTTCTTCAGTCTTCATTATTTCTTGGTCTTACAGCTTCTACTAAGCAGCAATGTCGCACATCTAATATTAAAAGTTAAATATAAACACCCGTTTACTGTTTTACAGTTTCCATTTGATTCCTTGTAGATTTATTGCTAGTTAGAACTTTTGCTGGCCCTGTTATTTTTTGCAAACAATTTCTACGTGATTTTCATTTTACGATTTTTTTTCTTTATCTGTTCCTGCCGGAGTAATTCGCCTTGCTGCTCGTTTTATATGTTTTTATAGGGTTTATATAGAGTTGTTTTGACCGTACATTTCAACGCTTATCATATGATTAGCACTGCACTTCTTCACTTGCTCACTTGTTAATTAAAAAGGGTATGCGAAGTGTTAAAGAAATTAATTCATAGAAGCATCTCAGGCCATGGGCTTAACGAGACGACGGATTACATTGGTGCTGCAGATTTTATTTCTGATTATAGGTTGAGCAATTTATCTTTTGTACTCTTCTTAGAATAGTAGTTTGGGATTTAATTCAGTCTTGTTAAAATTAAATTTTATTAAGATGTTCATGTATCGGTTCTTTTGCGATAGTGTAAACGTGATAGATAGCGCCAACCAGCGCTATGTTGCCGTCAGCTATGCGACATTGTCGAACCTGATAGTTTGCGATAGCTATCGCCTCAAACTATCGCCTCAAACCATTCGATAACTAGCGCTAGTTAGCGCTACCTATCCGTATCGCTAAAAATCGTAACGTAACAGTTAGCTAGTTTATATAACCAGCGCTAGCCAGCGCAATATATTTGCGATATTACTCATCAGCTAGCGCTGGCCAACGCTATCCAGCGCTAATTAGCGCTAGATAGCGCTAGCTGTCGCGTTTACACTATCGCAAAAGAACCCATGTATCAATAATACATTTTTTTCTGATTTTTACGAAACTTATTTATTGTCAGGAGTTACAGTCAGTTTTAGTTTTACAACATCAACAACAAAAAAAGGTGAGTCACTTTACTTAAATTCGAATACATATTTTACTGATATCAACGGTAACGGGTAAAGTCAGTAAACAAACTCAATTAGCTTATACTTGGTTACATAATATGAAATTTCTATATGGTCACTCTACTCAACATTTCCTTTGCAGTATCCCATCAGTATATCAATATATAACATTCCATATTGTAGACGTCATGATAGAAACATTTTTCCTTTTTTTTCAGCATCTGAAGCTCCAACTTGGGATAAGTTTTTTGCTGGTACACTTGCACCAACGGCGAAAAAAGATGATTTTGGAATGACTTACCCTAGTAAGCAATGTTTCTTTAAAAACATAATAAACTCAAGATCTTAAATAAAACATCGATATATCGTCCTTTTATTTGTCATTCAGCCACAATAAGCGAAGGCTTTTGGCTTGGTTGTGGTGAACCATTTTCTATCGAGATAGAACTACGACATGTATTATTAATTAATGGAACCTTTTCTCAGGATCAGAACGTCCAACATGGAATAAATTCTCTGCAGGAAATGAACCTTCATGGATTACATATCCTGGTGAGTAATTTTTCTTAAGACGCAAAACAAGCTTTGGTATTTCTAGAGCAAAACATTTTTAAATTCGTTTAAACACAATCACCTGAAATTTTATCCTTGGTGTAGATAGAGCCACGTCGTCCATTATATATTATTAAAAAATTATATCTTTCCTCAGAATCCGAAGGTCCAACATGGAATAAATTTTCTGCAGCTACAACTGGGCTAACGCCGATAAAAGACAATCTAAGGATCACATTTCCTGCTGTAGATGTACCAACAGTGAAAAACGAGGATTCAGGGAAAGACTTTCCTAGTGAGTAATGCTGCTTAAAAATAAACTTTCGGGACTCTTAATGGTTGATTACATAGCACTTTGATGTTTTATTAAGCCACAATCTCCAGGGAGTTTTCACTTAGTACTTTGAGGGACCCTTTTTGCTATAGAGCTATAGAGTTTAGAGGCTGAACAACGTCATATGTCATGTCAACTTGTCATGTCAACTTGTCATAAAAACTTGTCATGGTAACTTGTCATGGTAACTTGTCATGACAACTTGTTATGACAACTTGTCATGTCAAAATTAGGTGAAATCTTATTTATAACTAATTTCTTCAGATGAGCACAAAAGTATTCCTTTAACGATCTCTGCTACTGATCCAGTAACTGAGGATCATAACCTTCAAGTCACAACACCATCAGGTAGGTTTCAGCAGTAAATATTCATGGTCGCCTCACCATACAATGGTTCTTCTGAACTAGGACACCCCCTTCTCTTATCGTGTTTTAGTTTTCGAAATGTTATGAAGGAACTCTAAAGCGTTGTGAAATTATTCCCGCAAAAGTGCTCAGAAGAGTTTTGTCCGCAATTATAAACTGTTCTTATGCTACAATTAGAAGACATTCTAATTTAAACTTCCGCGTTTATTACGCCACATTTAAAAACGAAGCATTTGCTGACTTCAGTTCCGTTGAATAAACATAATGTATTTCAGGAGAGTTGAAGAGATGGAGAAAGGATGGCAGGTGTGGAGAGGGACACCTCCAACCAGATGGGCGAGAAGCAGAGTGTGATCCAGACAGTCAGACCCCCTGCTGTGATGCTTGGGGTTGGTGCGGGAGGAGAGATGACCAGTGTTGCTGTCCCTACTGCATCGACTACAGAGTCGTCAGAGATATACAACAATCAGGGGATTCGTGTACTGTGACAGCCATTGGAGGGTTCCTTAAAAACGTGTGCACTGGAAATGAAGCAGAAAACTGGTACTACTTCAAGTGTGCGCATTCTAATGTGAGCTATAACAGCTACCTTGAGTACGATAGCGGCTCCGCCAGTTATACTCTCCGAAATGTGTCCCTTGTTTGTGAAAACGACCCCTACTCATATCAGGCATGTGGTTTTAACACGGGGACAACTAACACAGACGTGATGTGCGGAGGTTACTTTTGTCAGAACGACATATCAGGCAATGAGACAACTAGCAGTTTTGTAAAGTGTGATAAAGATTGCGGTTCTAGAGAATGTCCCATCTCATCAACAGACGCTGACCCCACCACCGCCGCCATTGAAACAACCTCCTCAAAACACTGTGATGATCACTGTGACCAATGGTACTGTAAAGATGAGGGTGACTGTAATGGTTACAGATATGGGATCTTCTGTGCTGTGTCCGAGAGACAAATGTATGTGCCTGCTCGTGCAGTGTGTGATGGATTCCCCATCTGTGATTTCTTGGAGGACGAACAAGACTGTAATGTAACAGACACCACTCTGTCTTCTTGCTACCACTACGGACGTGTATCCCAGATGGATGATTACACCATAGTCCCTATATTAAACTACACGAGATGCACTGTGCTTGACGGAAAAGGTAACCATCCGTATTGTCTCGACTATATGGATCAGACAAACTGCACGGATATTGAGAGAGTAGGAGGTTATTGCCATGTCAACGGGTTGCCGTCTAGTGTTTCCAAGTATGTGGTATGCCGAGACAACGACCCTGATGGAAATCTACCGGTTCGTGTATGTGACAATGGCTTAGAAAATGTGTGCGTCTCACCGTCAGATTCAGTACCTTGCAAGGTGCACAAACACAGGATGTGTGATGGGGTTGCTGACTGTCCTGATGGCAGTGATGAGTATAATGACATGTGCAACACGATGACTGCAGATCACCACTGCAAACGCTCCTTTGGTATAGCACGTGCATTGCCCTACCCTGTTGCCTGGATACTCGATTTCGAGGTGGATTGTATTGATGGGTTGGATGAAGATCCAGAGAAATGGACATTTTGTGGCAACAGAACTGACGGAACACTACGAGTAAAGACTGGAAATGAAGAGCTTTGCGAAAATGTGTTTCTCTGTCCTGGAGAAGCAACCCCATTCGTTCAACTTGACCACCTTTGCGATGGTATTGAGTCTTGTAGAGTTGAAACCTCAGTTTGCCAGATTGCTATAGCACTGCCACTCGTTAACACAACTGTATTGCATCAGGGTGCAGTGAGAGATTTATGCCAGTCTATTGATCTCTCACAGAGTGAGTCATGTGTTGTTAGGGAGTTCGTCAAACCCTCTGGTGCTGTGTTTGGAGCTGCAAGAATGACAGTTCGAGTACCTCCAGCAAAAGTTGATTGCAGAAATGTCTTCGGAGAAGCTTATGTAATTTTGAGTTGTATGAACCTCTGTCTCGAGTCGTCTTGCCCACTTGAAAACAATCGTCTGATTCACGATTCGTGTCCAGACCAGTACCCCGGGAGAATGTACACCCTGGCCAACAACTCTTACTTGACTTTTGTGACTAAAGATCTAGAGGAAGGACAGTACGGACAGGATTATTTCCAGTGCGCTAATACCAAATGTATCGAGTTTAGACAGGTTTGTGATCTTGTTGATGATTGTGGAGACTTTTCTGACGAAATAAATTGCACGAACCATATGACCTGTGAAAATACAGTGGGGTCGTTACAGAAACAGTTGGTATCTGTATCACAAACATGTGACGGTATACATGATTGTTACGACCTCTCTGACGAGTGTAATGAACACTGTGGTACTAGAGAAATACTAGGAAGCTGGGTCCTGAAATGTGTTTGCTGGCTCATGGGTATCTTCGCAATTCTCTTCAATACTTTCGCTTTGGTAAAAGCCGCACTTTCCCTCAGAGACTCCCACTCAACAAGTCTTCTTATACTTCACAGCAAGGTTCTCCTTAGTTTGATAAGCATAGGAGACTTCCTTGTGGGAGTATATTTGATATGGCTGTCTGTCTATGACAGCATAGTCTTTGGAAGTAGTTACTGTAGACACCAGGCTGAGTGGTTGACAAGTTCCACTTGCTCCACTTTGGGTGTTATAAGCACGGTAGGGTTGCAGCTATCCCTCTTTTCCATGACAGCTTTGACCATTGTGAGATTTGTTGCCCTGTTCAGCCCTTCTATGAGCATAGCAAAGAGAATAAACAAACAAACAATTCTGAAGATGCTTCCAACGATGATCGCCATCATTGCCGGATCATTCATAGTGGCTTTGATGCCTTTAGTACCTTCTCTGAAAGATTACTTTGTCCAAGGCATCTACTACGACCCTGCTTACAAAGTTTTTATTGGCTTCCCTAACAAGGGGAAACACATCAAAATGCTCCAGGCTTATTATGACTCAGCAAACATTACCCTCGACCTTACATGGGATGAAATTGGTAGCTTGGTTGATGGTATGTTCAGTCGAACTTATGGAGATTTATCTAGGAAGAATGTGAATTTCTACGGAAATAATGGCCTGTGCCTGCACAAATACCTTGTTCCTAGTGTTGACTCTAAAAGGAGCCGGGATTCTCTAGAAGGAGACGTCACACATGGACAAGGAAACGAAATGATATGGTTGATGCTTCTCGTCAACTTTCTCTGCTTCGTTACAATCGCTGTTCTCTACATCTTGATGATCATAAAAGACAAGCCATCTTCTGTTGAAAGAGATCAAGATCATGAATTTGATCAAGAAAAGCAGAGCAGGACGCTACAGAAGAGGATCGCCGTGCTCATCTCAACAGATTTCCTGTGCTGGATTCCCTTAATTGTGGTATGCACACTGCACAACCTACTTCTGATTGATGCTGGTGGCTGGTATATAACGTTTGCTATGATAGTGTTGCCGCTCAACTCCGTTATAAACCCGCTCATTCACGACAGCACAGTGCAGGGGTACCTGCAGAGGAAGTGGCAGTTTATTATGGGTAGTCCAAAAGGAAAAGATTCGACAAAAGACACAGGATTGGCCGAAGAAGACACTAAAGCAGAAGAAAAGATTGGAATGGAAACCATTCAAATTTGAGCTCATAAACCTATATAAAGAGACACTGACGGAAATACATACAGGATCTATAAATTTGATCACGATGCTTTGCTTCCCAGCCCAATCGAAATTAAGAAGCAGATTTCAGATTAAATGACCTTTATGCCAATATACTTCCACATATCATGACAATAATTTTCTGGGCGTATTTCTTAATTTTGTAATATCCGGCTAAGAACATTATTTTTTAGTCGAATTTTTTAAATGTTGAGTGGTTGAATTTTTTTTAGTGTTTTGTAACTTTCCTTTTATTTAGCTTTGTGCACTGTTAATCTAGGTAAGGAGTTCCACTTTCCAGTCTCTATATTATAATAATATTGAGTATTTTTTAGAGAACTGTAATTATTTCTATTATTTACGTTAAAACCCGTGTTTAATTACAAATACATTCAATGCGGAATGACACTACTTTTATTTCCTCAGGGCCCTTCCACAAGACTTTTAAGTTTTAACAAATTTGGGCGGGTAATATAATGATAGCAACCACCTTTAGTTTTACAGCTGCAGTATAGTGCGGTGTTGTGAATAAAAACGGCCAAATAATCAACATAGCAGTGTTAAACTTAATGTTATGAAATCCTCCCCGATCACATGGCTGGAAAATTGAAAACAAATCCGTAACTTGTTGACCCCTAGTCAACACAATTTCTACCATCTCCCCCCCCCTCTCTCCCCCTCTCTCTTTGTTGTTAAACGTGTCCACTTCTTTTGGTGACATTTTCTGCATTTTATCGTGCATTTTATCGTGCATTTTATCGTGCATTTTATCGTGCATTTTATCGTGCATTTTATCGTGCATTTTGTATCGTACATTTTGTATCGTACATTTCATCGTGCATTTCGTGTTACTTGATGCATGTTTGGCGGAAGACAGATACTTTGTACACGGAATTAAACGGAATTAAACGGAATTAAACGGAATTAAACGTAAAGTTGTCGGAGATGGCACTAACACCATCGTCTCGACTATACATGAATGAATAACATATCTAGAGTAAGTAAAATTCGAGATTCAAGAATCATGAAAATTTAAAACAAAATCACTTAAAATTTAACTCCCGTACAAACAACCGAAACAGAAATAATTGCTGAAATAATAATTTAACATAAGAGGAAGTGACGGTAAACGGATGACGGTAAACGAGAACTTCATGACTAACAATTCAAGGTACTTTAATATCCCGTTTTGACTGCGTAATTCAGATTGGAACAAGTAGAGCACTGTATTAAATTGTATTTTAAGTACGATGAACAAGCCATTAATCGATTTCTGTATCGACTTTTAAAAAATAGAGATATATAAATTAACCAGCAAGAGTTATCTTTCTTCAGCGGATGTTATAGCTGCTTAACCCATTAGGGACGATAGGGTCGTTTTTATGACCCACCTTTTCTAGATGAAATACCAAATTACTAAACGCTATAACGAATCTATAGCACATATACTCAAAATTTATTGGGTTTCATTATATGTAGCCCAATAAATTTTGAGCATATATGCTATAGATTCGTTATAGCGTTTAGTAATTTGGTTTTTCCTCTAGAAAAGGTGGGTCATAAAAACGACCCTATCGTCCCTAATGGGTTAACCGTCTTGTAATGTTTTGCTTCCTTCACTTCCACTTTTGAATACTCGCTTAATTCTCCCTTAATCTTTTCATACTGGTGACTCTCTAAATATGTTTTAGCGTACAATTATAAACGAGTGTCTGCCCTGTACGTGTCCTCCCCCTCAATTATAAATACCGTACGCTAAAATCTGCCCTAAAATACTGGTCAAATACTGGTCTAATACTGGTCAAATACTGGTCAAATACTGGTCAAATACTGGTCAAATACTGGTCAAATACTGGTCTGATACTGGTCAAATACTGGTCTAATACTGGTCAAATACTGGTCAAATACTGGTCAAATACTGGTCAAATACTGGTCAAATACTGGTCAAATACTGACATTAATAAAAACATTAAATTAAGAATATAAATACAACATTGATCAAGATTCTAAGATTAGAACATATATACAATGTATATATCTATCAACGATGTAAAACTAAGAACTATTGTACGCCCGACTCTGCCGGGCCGCAATTGTAGCATTTCCTTTCACTAGTGCACTCCGTCGCCCAATGCCCTCTTCCGTGACACCTAAAGCATAGCGTATCTTGCTTCCTCCTCTGCTCCTCCGTCACCTCCTCCTTCCATTCCTCCTTCTCCTTTTTTTGCTCCTTTTCCATTTCCGCTACTCGATCCTTGTGTTCTTTGTCCAACCTATCCCATTCTGTAGTCGCTTCCTCTATATCTTTCTTCCTTTCTGCTTGTTCCCTTTCTTCCCTTTCCCTCTCTGTCTCTTCCTCTATATCTCCCCACATACTTCCATTCTCCTTTGTCTCGGTCCTCTCTTGTTCTTCTGTTTGATCTTCCTCCCTTTTGTTTGTCCCCAGAATTCATGTTGGTTAGAAATGTATGCTAACTTGATCGTTTATACTCCAGTATCCAAGTCCCTTTGTTAAAAGAAGTAATATTATGTACGTCTGGAGTAAGCTTCATTTAATAATAACAATATCAATATAGTCAATATCAATATCAATATCAGACTAAACTGTCGAATAAATTATCAGATATTATTTGTTAATTCGTTCTGAATAAAAATTTATAAGTTAGGATATTAAATAATTAAAAACATTACAAGTACGTGGTTAAAAACGCCAAAAATTGATCTGATAGCTTTTCAGTCTATAGTACAATCATGATAGTAATAGTAAATGTATGCTGCTGCGATTAGAATAGATTGCTGCAATTTAAAGTTGTCCGTAGTCCCTTTCTTTTCCATCCATCTAGCCAATACCACCATCACCACCACACCAATCAGCAGCCAGCACATTTTTTCTTCCCACATCATCATTCTGCTGATTTAACTTCATTAATATTCCCAATGTACTTTTCATCCCTTCACCCTTTACTTACGGCCCCTTGGGATTTCTTTCTGTTTTATAATTTACTATTTTATTTTTATTTCTTTCTGACCTTCTAACCTCCCCCTGCCTCACTCCCTGGACTAAACGGTCACCTAAACTTTTTAAGTCTATGTCCATGTCTTCTATCCTATCTTTCAAACTCACACATTTCTCTCTCATTTCTCCTTCCACTCTTCTTAGATCCGCTATTAGAGCCGATGGTTTTGGTGTACTTGCTCCTATTGGCTTCTCAAAATTAGGTTTAACTGGAGGAGTCATCATTCCTCTCCCTTTTAGTTCTGTTGGTGTTACATCTCCCTGACTTTCGGGAGGGGTTTGCAGTTCCTCAAACCCTACCCCCTCAAATTGTGGGGGTGTCTCACTTCGCACAGTCCTTTACTTTTTACTCTACATCCCTCAGGAAGCGCTTTCCACACGCACTAATATCCTATCATCATTAACCCCATAATTGTTACCATTGGTACAATGTACCAGGTCCATCGTCTGTTTTGTTCGTAGCTCTCGTTTACTTCGGAGCACTATAATATAGACCCTTAAACTACATAACACTTCCAGCCCTCGCTGACCGTCCTTATATTAGGCCCAAATCCACTATAGTTCATTCATTCAATGCCAAAATGACTATACAACATATCCTCCGCACAAAATTGTGTGGAAGTTCTCCGCTGCATTGCAATTTTCCCGCCCGATTTTGTATGTGGAACTCAATCCTGTTCTTTCTCTCCGTCCTATTGGCACTCTCTTTATCTCTCTACTGCAACTCTCTCTTCTTCCGTAATACTGAAGTATACCCCCTTTGCTGCCTACTCTCAGTGCTAGCCTCTTAATTCAGGATTCGGATGAATTCCTCCCTAGGCCCTGAATAAACAACTCCGTGGAAATATCGGAAATCTGAAATATTATTATCAACTGATAAATTTGTTGATTGAAAATTCTAAAATCAGAGATAATTAATTAAAATATGAATAAAGATATATAACTATAAGTAGTATGCTATATGAAAGTACTGCAGTTAGACTCTCTCCCCCTCCTCCGGGATAATATACCCGAGTTCAGACCACTGGTTTGTCAGAATAAAAGCGCGGCTCATAGGAGTGAATTAGCGAAGGTGTCAGAAGTAATCAACTATCATAATGAGCTGTTATCTTTGGTGTTACGGACTGTTTATAAGTTTATAGTGCTATAGCTACTATTAAGACAGTTTTTGTTATGATAATATTATTGTATTCATATCTTCTCAATATTTAAAATATCACACATCAAATAAAATATTATTTCCAGATAATATTGGTCTTTCATTTGGTCGATAAGATTAAAAAATAACCTAAATTTACCTCGGTTGCTAGGGGACTGATTGCGGTTGCTATAGTGCTCAAGGTAACGTAACCTCCAGAACTGCTATCCGTCTCCGACTCCACTCTTTCCTTCCCCATTATCACTCGTCTGTCTCTCCGCGCCACGTTGCATTTCACTTGGTTCATTCTGAGCTACTTAAGTTATAATATTTGATCCTTCCTATTTTATACACTACTAATCTTTTAATCTGTTATTATCAATGTCCTTATCTCTTACTTATCTAGCCATCCTATTTCTAAATTTCTCATTTCCATTATAACAATATTTCAACCTCCTTTCGACTAAATACTCATCATGTTTTTATACCTCCTCTCCCTGTTTTCCCTGGGGTGGCCCACCTCCTTCCGCTGCTACGAAGGCGAGACCCTCATGAACTGTTCTCTGTAAGTACAACTATTCTATCAAATATGGCCTCTATCTTGATTTTATATTACCTTTACTAAGGATTACTTTATGTGCCATATTTAATTTTAGGGCAACTTGGTACATGATTATTACGTAAGTTTTACCTTTAACTTACTCTGTTATATCCCCCTACTTATCACTATTTCAAGACTTCTCATACATGTTCTTGATAATTTATGTCATAACCTGTGGAAGTTGCCCCTCCTTCTTCCCCTGTTAACTTTACCTTATTCAGAGTTCTGATCCGGGATATGCTCACCCCCACTCCTCCTCTCAAGTCCCCGGTTTTTTGTTTATTTTTCCGATTTCGAGCCTACCTCAGTCAACGTACCTTTATGTTTTGGTAAAAATTCGTGATTAATTTCATGGATGCTATTGTAATTACATCCTTCCCGCCTTTTCTTCAATTTATTAACAATAACATGATCATTAAAATAATTTTGAAATCTTTTTTTACCGATCGTAGCACTGTGGCTTTCTGGAAATCTGGAATGTTACTTTCCGCTTTGTCCGTTTTTGACGCACAGGTTATGTTTATGTCCTCTATTGTTCCGCTCTGAAAAAAGTTTTATATTAAAACGCTTTGGTCCGATAATATGATTGATTTACTTTATCAATGTCG